GGGTTCAATATTGAGTTGGCCCACCCTTTGCAGCTATAACAGCTTCAACCCTTCTGGGAAGGCTGTCCACAAGGTATAGGAGTGTGTCTGTGGGGATGTTTGACCATTCTTCCAGAAGCACATTTGTGAGGTCAGGCAGTGATGTCGGACGAGAAGGCCTGGCTCACAGTGTCCGCTCTAATTCATCCCAAAGGTGTTTTATCAGGTTGAGGTCAGGACTCTGTGCAGGCCAGTCAAGTTGACCTTGCTTTGTACACTGGTGCGCATTCATTTTGGAACAGGAAGGGGCCATCCCCAAACTGTTCCCACAAAGTTGGGAGCATGAAATTCTCCAGAATGTCTTGGTATGGTAACGCCTTAAGAGTTCCCTTCACTGGAACTAAGGGGCCAAGCCCAACCCCTGAAATACTACCCCACACCATAATCCCTCCTCCACCAAACTGTACACTTGGCACAATGCAGTCAGGCAAGTACTGTTCCCCTGGCAACTGCCAAACCCAGACACGTCCATCGGATTGCCAGACAGAGAAGTGTGATTCATCACTCCAGAGAACACGTCTCCACTGCTCTAGAGTCCAATGGCGGCATGCTTTACACCACTGCATCCGATGCTTTGCATTGCACTTGGTGATGTAAGGCTTGGATGCAGCTGTTCGGCCATGGAAACCCATTCCATGAAGCTCTCTATGCACTGTTGTTGTGCTAATCTAAAGGTCACATGAAGTTTGGAGGTCTTTAGCTATTGACTCTGCAGTTGGCGACTTCTGAGCACTGTGCGCTTCAGCGTGCGCTGACTCTGCTCTGCCATTTTGCTGTTGTTCCCAATTGCTTCCACTTTGTTATAATACCACTAACAGTTGACTGTGAGATATTTAGTAGCAAGGAAATTTGATGGATGGACTTACTGCACAGGTTGCAACCTATCACGGTACCACGCTTGAATTCACTGAGCTCCTGAGACCGACCCATTCTTTCGCAAATGTTTGTAGAAGCAGTCTGCATGCCTAGGTGCTTGATCTTATACATCTGTGGCCATGGAGGTGATTGGAACACTTGAATCCAATGATTTGGATGGCTGTCCCAATACTTTTGGCAATATAGTATATCTCTACAGATTTAAGCTTTAAAGATTTATATAGATTTTGTGTCGGGTAATTACTAGCATACCAGGTATGGAAGACAGCTGATCTCTAGTTTGCATTCTTAATATTATAAACATTGTGGTATCAATAGACACAGAACATATAAGATTATTATTATTATTATTATACAGGATTTATATAACGCCAAGAGTTTGCACAACACTTTACAAAATGAAGGTAGACGTTACAGTTACAAGAGGAAACAGAGGGCCCTGCTTGTTAGGAGATAGTAACTTGCCATACTTTTGGGCATTTGCTAGCAATCTGGTAAGGTAATGGAGGTATTCTGTAAATTTAAAATACTGCAAGGGCCTTGCAATTTCCACGCATATTATTTGGCTATTGATACCTGTTAATTAGATAATATCAAAATCATACATAATAAGGCACTGTAATGGCAGTAATAGTCTAAACCCGTTTGTCTCATTGCAACTTCATATTAAGCCAGAGATGAGGAGGAAGGGGATGAGTCGCTGCTGTAACTCATTCTCTTGTATGTGTAAATTTCACCTGGAGCTTCCCAACTTTGTAAACAGGCGTTATTCAACAAAGTAGCTAAGAATAGAACCTAATCAGCTGGCTATAAAAAAGGGAAACATGAGTATTCATAGACAGTATATTATATTTACCTAAAAATTTATATTTTTTTAGCTATTTATTTTTTTAGCCCTGAGGATGATAAAAAAATACTCTCACTGGTCACTTTATTAGGTACACCTTGCTAGTACCGGATTGGACCCACTTTTACCTTCAGAACTGCCCTAATTCTTTGTAGCATAGATTCAAGAAGGTGTAGGCAACATTCCTCAGAGGTTTTGGTCCACATTGACATGAGTTATTTTCGCCTTCCCAATATCTCGAACCAGTCTGCCCATTCTCCTTTGACCTCTGACATCAACAAGGCATTTTCATCCACACAACTGCTGCTTACTGGATATTTTCTCTTTTTCAGAACATTCTCTGTACACTCTAGAGATAGTTGTGCGTGAAAAAACCCACTAGATCAGTGATTTTTGAAATAATTGAACTTCATCAAGTTGTCTTCACCACGTCTACATGCCTAAATGCATTGAGTTGCTGCCTTGTGATTGACTGATTAGCAATTTGTGCTACCTAGCAATTGAACAGGTGTACCTAAAAAAGTGACTGGTGAGGGTATATACAGAACGCTATACAATTTATTCACACTAGTCCAATTCCTCCTGCGTCTGCTATTGTGCTGAATTGCATGACAATAGATATCACAATATTCTCCATGGTGTCCATTCACATCAATGCAATGTGTTTGAAAAGGTGCAGGTGCTTCTTTTGGAGCACCATAGTGCATTTTTGGGTCCAAAGACTTTTTTTTCTTTGGTTGAACTGGATGGACTTTTGTCTTTTTTTCAGCCAGACTAACTATATAATGGGTGCACAAAAAAAAATGCAGGTAAATGCAATTTTTGTGCATTTTACCAGGCCATTGTGTTTAGCAATCAGTCTCCTCTTTGTCCAAAAAAATGCATATCGCATCAAAACATGTAAAAACCTGTCAAAATACATGCTACCAAAATGCACTGAACAACGCTACTTATGGAGCAGCACTAGTGTGAACTTAATGAGTTTGGGTACCTTAAAGCAGAACTCCAACCAAAAATAACAAGATAAAATTAGTCGCTCATTAAGGATAAAATAACAAAACCAGCTTTTGCTGCAATACCCACACTCAATCCAGTGATTTACATCTCAGTAATTATATCCAGTGCTTGACGTCCTCAGTCTAATGGCCAGTATCATTCAATACATTCTCTCTGATCCCAGATCATCCTTGGCCCACTGCAGCCTGTGACTGGACAGTGATAGGAGAAGCAGCACAGTCATGAGCTCATTTATCTGTTACTCTTTTCTGAATTGGCTCCATTCACTGCTTCTTCCTCTCACACTGCAGCTCTGCTGTACAGGGGTTCCAGGAGGCTGAAACCAAATCAAATGTAGATACTTACCTGCTTGCATTTAAAAAATACATTTATTAATGTGTTCATGATTACACACCTGCCTAGAGTTCAGCTATAAAATACTGTTTATGTAAATCCAAAAACAAAAATGTGATCTATTGCTGCTTACAAGCTTTTAGATGTGGTGGCTGCAATTTTTGTCCAGGCTATAGTAGAGTACATTTCTCACAAGTACAGAAAAACATCTGTTGCCGCTGTCAGAAATCTTGTCTCCTTGTAACGCCCTGTTGACCAAATTAAGATCTCGAACACAACTTTCTCACCTATCTCCTGTGAACTACAAAACAATGCCTCTCTAAGGCTGGCCATACATTATACAATTTTCTTGAGATTTTTGGTTTAGATTGACCAAAAATCATATAATAATAGGAGGTCAAACCTAACAACACTTTCAATTGTATCCAATTAGGCAGGCTCTTGCACTACATAGTTGAAGGTAAATCTAAAGGAAATTGGGCAGAAATTGGACAGAAAATTGTATAGTGTATGGCCAGTCTTAGTAACAGAGGAGAAGGGGAGGTGCTTGTAGTCCAAATCAGGACAGCAGTCTAGGGTGACAACAGTGCTCCACCTTATATACAGTGCAGTGGGTGAATGTTGTCACCATTAAGGCATTAGTTACTAGTTATTATTAAATATTAGTTATTAGTAGAATTACCAGGTGAAAATAAAGTAAAGAAGCCTCAAAATAAATACATAAAAAAAAACAATGCAGCCACCACAGGGTCAACTGGCCAGCTGCAATATATTACATATTGTAGGTTTAGATACTATTTAAAGCAGTATCTTTAAATGCGTTTGCCCATTTATTTATAAAAGAATTACATTTTTAGGGAGTTTTCTGTAGAGATATTTGATTTTTTTTTGCACAGCTAAGCTTGCCAGCTTTTTGTTTTAAAAAAATGTTAGAAAACTGATTAAAATAACAAAACTCTGATCAGTGACTTTTGGATCAAATTGCTTAAACAAATTAATTTTGCTTCAGACCACACAGAGAGATAGACAGGGAAAGCATTTATAAGCCTAGCCAGGCTATGCAGGGTCTTCACGTATATAGAATATTTTTTGTGATTAAAACAAGCAAATTTGTTAATGAACTTTAAAATAATGCTTTAAAGAAATTGTCACATTTTTCATAGACAAGCACAGGAGGATTTTCAGGTGCCCTAAATTTACACATACCTGTTTTGGGAATACTGAGCACTTGCGGTGGTGAGACCTTTTGATTGAACTACAGTGCCTGCTCATGTCCTAATCCATCATTCCCTTTCTATAGATAAGGGTTTGTGTCAATGAGCTTTGGGTTTGGGTTAATGGCATTATTTAACCATCAGTATAAAATGCTTCTGAGATTATGCAGAATTCATTTAAAGGTGCATGCAACCTACAGCTGATTGCCTTCCAACTTGCTTCAAGCAAAGTTTGGATTCCGATAAACTTGTGTAGGGATGTAACCACTAGCCTACCGGGCACTTATACCCCCTTCCTGCCCGGGCCAATTTTCAGCTTTCAGCGCTGTCACACTTTGAATGACAATTCTGCAACACTGTACCCATATGACATTTTTATAATTTTTTGGCAACACATAGAGCTTTCTTTTGGCAGTATTTAATCACCTCTGGGTTTTTAATTTTTTTTCTAAACAAACCAAAAACAACTGAAAATTTTGAAAAAAAAAATATTTTTTCTTAGTTTCTGTTATAAAATTTTGTAAATAAGTGATTTTTCTCCTTCACTGATGTGTGCTAATGAGGCTGTAGTGATGGGCACGGATAGGCTGCACTGATGGGCACTGATGAGCGGCACTGATGAGCACTGCTGAGGAGGCACTGATAGGTGGCACTGATAGGCGGCACTGACTGGCACTGATAGGCGGCACTAATAGGCAGCACTGACGGGCACTGATAGGCAGCATTGATGCGCACTGATAGGCGGCACTGATTAGCAGCACTGATAGGTGGCACTGACTGGCATTGATAGGTGGCACTGACTGGCAATGATAGGTGGCACTGAAAGGCAGCTCTGGGCACTGATATGTGGCATTGATGTGCACTGGTAAGCACTGATATGTGGCATTGATGTGGCACTGATGGGCACTGGCAGGTGGCATTTATAAGCACTGACAGCTGGCATTGATGGACACTGACAGGTGGCACTGCTGGGGCTACACTGATTATCAGAGCACACTGAACATCAGTGCCCTGATGATCAGTGTACATGTCCCCTCTGAGGAATGCCGATTAACGGCTCTCCTCTCCTCACGAGCTGTCAGCGTGACACCCCGTGAGGAGAGAAATACCTATAACCGGCATTTCCTTATTTAAATGCGATCAGCTGTTATTGGACACAGATGATCACATGACAGAGCCGACGTCTTCGGCTCTTTCCGTTGATCGGTGATCCGCTGTATCCTAGGGACACAGAGCACCAATGATCGCCTCGCTGCACGCCCCCGGAGCTGCGTACTCGCAGTTAGAGTGGGAGGACATCATATGACGTCCTCCCAGAACGAGAGAACCGCCTAGCACCATCATTTCCTTATATGGTGGGTGGGAGGCGGTTAAAATCTGTTAGATGTGAACAAATGTCCCTTGACACAGGCCCTCAAGTGAGAAGTGTCTGTAAAACTGGATAATTTGAATTTTGTAAGGTTTTCAGGATGTCTTAACCCTTCTCCACTCTATTAAATATAAGTGTTTATTGCTATATGTGTTCCCCATTTGAGATCTCTCCAGTCGTACTGACTTCTGTCATTGGGACAGAAAGTGAGGGAAATCCTCTCTACTGGGGGACACAGATTGTAATTGATACCTGGCAGAGGTACCGTATTTGCCGGCGTATAAGACGACTGGGCGTATAAGACGACCCCCCTACTTTTCCTGCTAAAATGTAGTGTTTGGGCTATACTCGCCGTATAAGACTACCCCTCTTCCAATGCACACCAGTGGGAGGAATAGTGCCCCATCATTGATGTCAGTGGGAGGAATAGTGCCCCATCATTGGTGTCAGTGGGAGGAATAGTGCCCCATCATTGGTATCAGTGGGGGGAATAGGTGCCCCATCATTGGTATCAGTGGCAGGAATGGTGTCCCATCATTGGTATCAGTGGCAGGAATAGTGCCCCATCATTGGTGTCAGTGGGAGGAATGGAGTCCCATCATTGGTGTCAGTGAGGGGTGGAATAGTGCCCCATCATTGGTGTCAGTGGGGGGTGGAATAGTGCCCCATCGTTGGTGTCAGTGGGGGGGGAATAGTGCCCCATCGTTGGTGTCAGTGGGGGGGAGGAATAGTGCCCCATCGTTGGTGTCAGTGGGAGGAATAGTGCCCCATCGTTGGTATCAGTGGGAGGAATAGTGCCCCATCATTGGTATCAGTGACACCAATGATGGGGCACTATTCCTCCCACTGAGACTTGCTGACCCTGTTCTCGTATGGTGCTGCTGCAGCCAGCATATGTGGTTGCAGCAGCACCTCTACACAGAACACTTACCTGCTGCTCCGGCACTCAATTTTCGTGGGGCGGCTCGGCTCCGCCCCCTCGCCGGTGATTGGCCGCCTGTGTGCCTTTCCTGAGCTACAGTTCTGGCAGCCAATCACCGGTGAGGAGGCGGAGCCGAGCAGCCGCACGAACATCCAGTGGCCGAACTGAAGGAGACGCCGCGCTTCCTGGACCGGATCGTCGTGGGACTGGATCCAGGTAAGAGACATCAGCCCCTGCAAACCCCTGTACTTAATGCCGCAGCCCCCCTAACATGTGTACCGGCGTATAAGACGACCCCCGACTTTTGAGAAGATTTTCAAGGGTCAAAAAGTCGTCTTATACGCCGGCAAATACGGTAACTTCAAAACTGAAAAAAAAATGTTATGGATGGCGTCCAAGGGCGTATTTACAAAGCTCTGACTCACATTTACATTTCGGGTGAATCATCTAGGTGCATGTGTTTAGATGAAAGTGAGGAATTCACCCCCAGTGAATGTTTGCCAAAAGCCACTTTCAATGTATTATATATGATCACCAAAGTGTATCTAAAAGTGAAACCTTTTATGTCTTTCTTTCAATGAAATACTATCAACAAGTGTATATACAAGCACCTCCTTTCCTAGCGTAACAACACTTCACTTGTCTAGGGTTGCCACCTGTCTGGGATTCACCTGGATAGTCTAGGTTTTGAACCATGTGTCTGGGTTTCAGTTCATCTGAAACTGGACACATTATTCAGACCGGACTGTGGATGTTGGGGTACTCAGTACTAGCTGGGGGTGATGGGACAAACGATTGGTGGCATTGGAGGCCATGGCTCCTCATCTCAGCCTGGGTCCAGTCTGCCGCTCCCCCCCCCCCCCACCACAATCACAATGCGCTCTTTCACCCAGCCCTTCACCCCTCCAGAGTTATCAGAACAAAGTTATTGTACGTCATTAGAGGTGGGTGGGGGACTGCTGTGACCCAGAATTGAATGCGGTGCTGTGTTGTGATTACAGGAGAGAAGCGGGAGAGCCAGGATCAGAGGAGAAGGCAAGGGAAAAGAGTGTACAGACTGCCATTGTACGACACAGGATAAACACTGAGTGGTGCTGTGATTGCTGACAGTCCTAGACTCTCATCTGTGCATGAATCCTAGTATGTCCTGGCCTCATCATTCCACCCTAGGGTATGCTGAGATTGGTGGTTCCCCCTGAAAAGCATTTTGGGACTCCTCATTTTACTCTAGGGTATACTAAGGTCTTGGCTCTCTTCTACCCCAGGGTATGCTGAGACATCTTGTTCCACAGTAGGGCCTGCAGGGACTCCTCATTCAACCCCTGGGCATGCTGAGACCTGTGCTTTGCCTGCAAGGCCTGCTGAGACTCATCATTTCACCTAGGGCTGCCACCTGTCCGGGTTTTGAATCATGTGTCTGGGTTTTAGTCCACCTGAAATATGGATATTCAGACAGGACTGTGACTCAGAGCAGGGCGTGGCAGGAGGATAAGGGGAACCTGGGATGGGAGTGGAGGGCCGGGGATGGGGTGACAGTGTAGGGAGCAGAGGAGAAGGCATGGGGACTAGTCTTTGTCTGGAGCATTCAAAATGGCTGCGGGTGAGTGAAGGATTACCACACCTGTCCGGGCTGAGGCGAGGGTGGGGAGTAGGAGACAGGGAGAGCCTGCGCCTTTCTACTACAAACCTCGGGGTCAGGGGTGGACTGACCATTCAGGCACTCGGGCACTGCCCGAGGGCCCGGGGTCTGTAGGGGGCCCCGTGAGATGCTCTTGGTACCTTTCATAGGCTTTTTTGGGTGTGGTTTGAGTGTGGGCTAGGACACAGGGCCCCATGATCCCCTATTGCCCGAGGGCCCCATGAGTTGTCAGTCTACCCCTGCTCGGGGTGGGGTCAGGACACACAAATGTGGCGAGGACACACTAGAGATGCGCCAGGATCATTTTTGGGTGAGCAGATGGCATGGCGCTCCATGAGAGATATGTACCCATCAAGCCGGGGACTGCCAGGGGACTGAGTACCATAAAGGCTGTATATTACAAACATTACAAAGTGTTTATTGTCTTAACAGTTGCTGGTTGCTAAGCAGTTCATGACTATTTTCATGAAGTTCTTCTGTAAGGTAGGCTCATATAAAGTGTTAGCTCTCTGACTATTTTCAGGGTACTCGCAATCATATGTAATGGAAGAGTTCTACTTAAAAAAAAATTATTGTGCTGAGGTTTATACATGTCTGCAAGACTCTTACTTGTGGCACAGCAACCTAAGCATATGGGCAAAAAAATGCTTTTCTTTTCTTTTACCATGCACCTTTAAGGACCTCACACTGTTAACATAATTTGGCCACACCAGCTGTTCTTTTCGGCGCCACATTACTACTCTTTTTGGGGCAAAGGTGTCCCAGGTCTTTTAAATATAGCATATACTACAAAAAATATTTCCCTGAGCCACTAAAGGCTTTGGGTTTGGCTTGAAGAAAAGGAGGCAACTCTAACTTTATCACTCTTTCTGCTCTATCCTGAGTTGGAATGTAAGCATCCTTTCCATATCACTGTGTTGTTCAGGCATTTGCATACACATCCACAGGAGGTTCCTACAGAGAGTCTCTAAAGGATGAGCCCAGTGAGGGGAGAGGAAACATAAGCAAATAATAGAAAAAAAAATTAAAAATATGCATATTTTATACAGAGTTCTAGAAGTATTTTTGAGAGTTTAGTTCTACTTTCAGATTCTTTATCATATAGATTACTATATAAAGATATGATAGACTATTATACAATATGATTTTTTCCAGTTTTTTTTATATATTCCCACTAATTTTGCTGTGCGTTCAGAATGTTTAGGTATAAATTAATTTATTTTTTCTTTATTTTTTTTTTTTAATTTCTGAGATTGGCAAGAAACCCCCCCTTTTCCTCATGTCCATTACCAGAGTTTTAGAGAAAATGACCACAGCATCTAATTGATGGCAATTGTGGGATATGATCCAGCATGTAAGAGATGAAGCACCCATTCACATCACTGCACCATGGTAACACATACGGTATTACATGGGTATGTGTACTGCAGTGACATATGTTTAGAATGGAATCCCAGAACACCTGTGTGTGTTAAGCCTTGTACACATGGGCAGTGTACTGCTATACTAAAAAATAAACCAGGTTTGCTTTTAGGTTTATTGTGGTGCATCAGCAGCTCATTTAAAATAAAGGGCTACCTTAACACAAAGCATGTTGAGGCACCTAAAAACCATCAAGTCTAAAACAGTATACTGGCACTGTGTTGTGTATCATCTGGGCTGTGTTATCTGACTGGCTATAATGATTTTTTCCAATAGAAGAGTATTAAAGACTGGGGAGGAATAGAGCCAGCATAAAATGGGTGCTGGATACTCTCAGCAATAAAGTCTGAATTCCTAACACCCTACGCTTTTCTTGTGTTACAAAAAACAAGCAATCAAAAAACAAAGTTCTGTTTGGTGTTTCACTAAATAAAGACCCATTCACACATTGAAGGCCAAAAAACAACCATGCCTTCATTTTTTTCAAGTGCCCCACAAGTAGGATGAGTGGCAGGTTCATCTGTTTTAGTTGTCTATGCAGTTGTCTAAATATGAATGGTAAAGCACCACAATGCATGTACAACAACTGTTGTTGAACCATGCATTTACATGCATTATGTGTGTTACCACCC